AAAAGCATCCAAAGAAGCCCTAGGGTAGGACCCTCTGCCAAGGAAGAGTAGGAAGGCACAACACCTGGTAGTTTTGGCAAAGTGGTGTTGGGCCTCAAGGCAGGGTCAGGGGTCATGGGGGAAGGAGGGCAGGTCCAGGGCCTTTTCTGCTGATGCTCAGAAAATCATGGATGAATTGGCACGCCAATCCTAAGGGAATCAGCACGCCTGACGATTACTTTCTGTAAAGTTAAACGCCAACAGGACTCAGGTGACTTTTCACTTAATAACTAATTGATAAATCAGCAAACTCTTGCTTTTTTTTTATACACTAGAAGACCATTAGTTAATTCGCTTTTTAACTGGTTAGTTCACTGGTGCAAGTACAGGCCCCACACCATTGCTTTCCCTCATGTCAGGACACTGTGCGGTCTGAGCCACGTGGAAACCAGGTGGGACTATCCCTGTCAGCCAGGAAGCATCTTCCTGCCACGGGGCACAGGGGCCTGAAACCATCTCAGAGTTCCTGGGAGATGCTCAGCTCTCCAGATAGGAGAAGAGGCTTTGTCTGTTTTATATCAACAACCTGAAATAAAACAACAGTGTTCCACAGAAAGTTCTACCCAACAAATCCTTAAGACGCAGTCTCTGAAGCCCTTGGGGGTTGATTTTGACATCAAGGTCTTACTTAAGTTTTATTTATTTATTTATTTATTTATTTTTTTGGCCAGGGTTGGGTTTGAACCCACCACCTCCGGCATATGGGGTCTGCACCCTACCCTTTTGAGCCACAGGTGCCACCCATTAGCTAGGTTTTATTATCCAGAAAACATGATGCCTAGATCCCCTCCATGGCTACAGGTTGGATAGAGGTAGCCATGGAGGAGTTGACATGGCTGCCTCTGTCAACCCCTCCATGGCTACATCTCTTGAAAAGTATGACATGGGTAAGCAACAGTGGGGGTGATTCTTGCACATTCAAGGGGCTGGTGTGACCACTTACCCACAGGGGGAGTCCTCTTTCAATTCTGTGCAAGTGGACGGCCACAAAGCATATTTTTTCTTGTCCACTTAGGCTGAGGCTATGAAAAATGCCAACGACTTATCGGAAACTATTCCATCACCCTTGAGGAGTCTACAGTCTTGGGAGAAAGTCCATGTCTCCATGGGGAGACAGCGCTAGGGCGCTTACGAAAGGTCAAGGCATGTCCTGGGGTGGTGACAGTGTGTCATGTGTGCATATGCACTTGCAGCCCAAGCTCTCTGCATGTGCCCCCCAGACGAGCACAATTCAGGAGCGATTATCCACTGTTTCACAATGTCCACTGTTTGCCCTGACACCCAGCAAAGGCAGCCCTCACACCTACATGATTTGTTAGAGACACTCTAGGGTATGGTTCTGGTTTTGCTTTTTTAATTTTTTATTAGTAGTCTCTAACATGTAAAGACCAGGAGATTTCACACAAAAACTGTCTCCCTTGTAAATGGGAGACAGCTGACATCCCAGGCTCACATCTTCACAATGAAGCAACACGCAGCCAGAGCTGGGTAGTGACAACCCCCGTTAGTTACAGTCTGTGCTTAGGAGTTCGCTACAGACTCCACCATTCCCTAATGCCTCACACTCAGGCTGCTTCCCTCTTTCAGGTTACCTGTCTGGGCCCTGTAGATGCTTGAATTTGTAGCCTCTGTGTGATAGACTGAATAATGGCCCACAAAGGATCTGATTCCTGGAATCCTATCACTTTATATGATAAAAGGGACTTTGCAGAAGGAATTAGGTTAGGGATCTTGAGGTAGGGACATTATCTTGGATTTTCCACATGAACCCTAAATGCTATCAGGAGTGTTCTCATAAGAGACAGAGAGAGACTTAAATATGAAAGAGAAAACAGCAAAGGAACAACAGAAGTAGCAAACAACCCAGTCATTTTTACTCTCAAATTAATTTGAAATTAAAAAAAAAAAAGAAGTAGAGACTAGGATTATAGCCATAACCTAAGATTGCCAGCAGCCACTAGGAGCTGATGCTCCCTTAGAGACTCCAAAAGGCAGCAGCTCTCTGACGCCTTAATTTTAGTGCCCTAAAACCATTTCAGACATCTGGCATCCACATCTGCAGGAGAATAAGTTACTATTGTTTTAGCCTCTAAACTAGTTGGTCATTACGGCCCAGGGAGGAAGCTAATTTAATATACCCTGGCAATAAATGAATTCAACAAAATGCCCTGAGCACACAGACTAGAGTGGGCAGGTGCTACCCCCAAGCAGCCTGTACCTAGTAGGAGAAAATAAATGATAATGGCCTGGAGCACAGGCAGAACAGGGGATGGCTGAGTCCCCAGCAATTCTGGGGACATACCTGAGGAACTTCTAACCCCGGATGGCAGCTTCCAGAGGGAGCTGTTTTCCAGGTCTGTATACATCCACCTTGTTGAGCAATGAAACTCCTCTAAGGCCTTGAGGATGCTGAGGCCATGGGGCCTGGTGTGTGTGCAAGGGGTGGGTGGGAGCAGGGCGGCTCCAAGGAGGGCGGGGGCTCCTTACCTGGCGTGCTGGATGAACTGGGTGGCCTTGTCAGCATACTTCTGTGCAAGGTCATTCAGGTTCACTGGCTGTTCCACGATGCTGAGGTTTTCGTAGAGAGGAAGGGCAACATCAGTGTAACAGTCTCTCTCGAGGTTCCTGGGTGTGGACACTAAAGTTATTCATTTCCACAACCTGAGTAGTTATGAAGTAGAACAAAATGTTTTCAGGCAAAGGCGCATGTAACTACAAAATGCTTAACAGCCGGGTCCCAAATGATTTTGCCACTCAGCCATTGTCACCAAGTGTAAAGCCAACATATATCACTCTCTTCCATACACTTTGAATAGATATTTATGCTTCTAGGACAAGCTGGTCCCTCTGTAAGGCTCACACAGACTTTTGTGAACAGGGGACATTATGACTCCCATTTTGCAGGTAGAGAAACTGTGGCCTCAACAGCCTAGTTAATTTCCAGCAGAGTCTTGTAGCTAATCAGTAACCCCTCTGCCGGCTTCCTCCACTGTCCAACCTGAATGTTGGTCTCTGTGTATGGTGTGCACCACTGGACATTTCCCTGAGTCTGACAACAGGACAGGGGGCCTGGGACAATTTTAATTTTCAACCATGTTTGGGGACTTGGGAGGAACTTGAGTGGTTGGAGGAAAAACATGGGAACGAAACCAATAATATATTCTGGGAAAAAACAAACTCCAACTTTGATCTTACAGATGAAAATGAATCAAGCCATGGCTGGCCCATCCATGCGACTGAATGGTTACTCTGATTGCTGTCGTGGGCAAGTTAGCTAAGCTTCCAGAGCTTGAGTTTCCTTCTCTGCAACATGGGGTGGCTCATGCCCTCTGTATAGGGGTATCAGAGGTCTCAAGGAGATAAGGTGCATTCCACATTGCTCTGTATTTTAGGAATTCAGTAAAAACTTGAGCTCTCAGCTCTGGACACCACAAAGAACCAGGAGAGAAGCTGAGAGGAGCAGAGACAGAAGGGAGTGACAGAAGGCTCCTGGGGCAGGAAAAATTATCCTACTATGGCAGGAAAGAACCGGTGAAGAAATCAGAACTCCTCACCACACCTGCGTGCTCACACACTCCATTACAGAACACAGAAGATAAGGTCAGATTGGGTAGATAATTGCCAAGGAGCACAATTTTTTTAAAAGAGAAAAGGCATTATCACCATGCTGGGCATTGCAACGATAACCCCACATTTGTGTTGAGCTTTTGATTATGTAATTACAACTCCACCATCATTTCCATTCTCTCCTTTTATTCCCCCTTAAGCCAACTTTTTACTTTCTACTTGATTTTAACACAGATTACAAAGAGATTGGCTGGCATATGTCATCCTTTGATATGGCCAGGGGTGATTACAGGTGTGCTGGCCAGTCCACCGCTGGTGAGGAGGCCAATGACACGCTCTCAAACCTTGCTTCTCATGCTGTGACCTGCACACAAACCATGTGGGCATCTTGCTAAAATGCAGGCCTCAAGATAGGGTCTGGATTTCTGCATTTCGAGTTTCATTCTGTTGCCCCAGCTGGAAGGCAGTGGTATGATCATAGCTTGCTTCAGCCTAGAGTTCTGGGGCACGAGCAATGCTCCTGCCTCAGCCTCCTGAGTAGTGAAAGGCTGGACTTCAGGCTGTGCTAACACACCCAGCTAATTTTTTTTCTCCCCAAAAGAAAAAAGACAAATCTGCCTAGACAGATCTTGAACTTCTGAGTTCAAGCAATCCTCTCACCCTGGCCTTCCAAAGTGCTGGGATTACAGCAGTGAGCCACTGTGCCCAGCTCGAGAATTTCTCCATTTCTAACAGGTAATACTCACGGTGCTAGTTGAATCACCACACTTTAAGTAGCAAACAGAGAGGACGTGGGCTCTGGACTCAGAAAGACCCAGATTGGAATGTGCGTTTCTACCGCTTACCAGTAAAAGTCCATTCCTAGCTCTTACCAATTTTGGTGTGACCTGGGCAAAAAAAAACCTTCCTTCCCTGTATAATCAGGTACATATCTGCTTCACACAATGGTCAGGTGGATTATAGATAGGTACAAGTGAGTGCCTAGAATGTGAAACTTTCTCAATCAACAGATACTATCATAAGAACTACTGTGCTGTTATTGAGTCAGCTGAGACTCACCAATCCCAAGGGGCTCAGACACCTGCAGCTTTAGAAATAACCACGGTGCCACGGGGGAGCTTTGGGGGTTTGTGCCACTCTATAATCTGAGTAAAGCTTATCTTCTTTTCTGATCATAAATGCACTGCAGGCCCATTCAAAATATTTAGGAAATTTAGTGAGAGAGAAGAAAATGGAAACCATTAGTCCCGCAACCAGAGTGAGCCCTGGATAACATTTTAGCACATCTCCTTTGAGTTCTTCTCTACAGGGCTACAGAGATGTGGGTCCAGATGTGGTTAAGATTCTACTGCTGGTGACTTGCTTCCTGCCTTTTTCACTTACTGTTAGATCATGAGCATTTTCCCACTTCATGGAATATGTTTTCAAAACATCCTGTTTAGCGCCTGCGCAGCATTCCAACGTCAAAATGCTGGCTTTCTTGTCCGGAGGTGAGAAAGAAGCCCAGAAAGAACACTGTGCACTTTCTCTCTCTCTCTCTCTCTCTCTCTCTGTCCCTCCTTATGTCCAGCGCCTGGGCCAGGTGAGTGGACCAGGCACAGATCCAGCAGGCAGAGGAAGAGGGAGGCCTCCCCCTTCACACCCTCCCCCCGCAGCGTGAGACCTTGGCAGCACAAGGCACCCCTCCAGCTGAGCTAAATAATCCTAGGAACCTGGAAAATTCCAGTAAGAGAATTCTGCGGCCCTCATCTTTGCTGAAAGTTTTCTTGTACTCCATGCAAATAATGTGTTTAAATTTGGACTGAGCGTCCCCTGTCTCTACTCTCCCCTATCTGCTGTCGTGACAGACTACAGCCTTAGGTCTTCACTTTGTTCGGGAGCCCATGGGAAATGCATTGCACAGTGTTACCTTGGTGGTCCGGCGCTCTGTGGACAGGCTGGACAAGGAGGGTGGTTGTAGCCCGGGGTATCAGTACAGCCCATATCGTGGCTATACGGGATTCCAAAATAGTAATCAAAACCTGGAAAAGAGGGATTTGGTTAGCACCCCCACGCAGCTACACTCCTGTGCCCGTCCTCTTATGCCCATGGCAAAAATTTAATTTCCTATGATTTAATATCACAGTGCTATGCAGTGAGTAATTAAAAGAGGATTGGATTAATATCCCTTTGTAGTATGCACAGAAAATCACTTTGCTGTGTTCTGGCTGTAAAACTAGATTTGCGGAACATCTTGTGATTCGAATGAACCCAGGTTGGGAGGGAGTAGAGAGAATTACTGAACGCCTAACATCCTTGGTGGAATTATAGGCACATTCAGTATTTGACCAAAAAACTACTCCCTGTATGACACTTTACGGGGAAAAAGAATAAATTCTGCCCTCGAGGACCTTCTGTCTGAAGGGAAAGGAAAACACACACATTAACTCATGAGACGTGGATTTGCCAACAAGAGGGATCGCAGGATCTTGGGGTCTCAGAGGCTTTGCCTGGGATTCCCTGCTTTGTGTCTCTCACGGGTAAAACTGCATTAGTTCCCAGCCCAGTTTGGGCATGAAGTTTCCTGCAGAATTTCCCTAACTCCTCACTGCATGCACCTATTACACTCCTCCATTCCGTCCTGCCCCTGGGAGATGCAACCTGCAGTCTGCCGGTCATCAGACACTCTCTGTGCCCCCTGAGTTAGGTTCTTCCCCATCAGTGATGCACTCCTGAGTCAGGACATTAGCTCTCTGTCAAACCAATATGGGGTGTGTATGTAGCACAACTTGTAAATGTCTGTTGTATTGAAAAGAACTTTTTTGATACCTCTACACTACCCTGGTTTGTACAAACAGATTTGGATACCCCTGAGATCAATGGCATAGCCCTAAAATGTTACTGCATTTAGTATCAGGATGAGCCTCGACCAGAGGCACCAAACTTTTTCTGTAAAAGACCAAACAATAAATGTTTTACATCTCACAGGCACCAGACAGTCTCTGTTGAGGTTACTCAATGCTGTTGTTGTGATGCAAAAGCACCCAGGGACCACATGTACACAAATCAGCACGGCTGTTTTCTAATAAAACTTTATTTATAAAAACAGGTGATAAACTGAATTTGGCCTACAAGGTCTATACCAACTCCAGGTCTAGACCACAGGTGTCCTGAGATCCAGAGTTAGAAAGAAGTCTCATGTGTACAGGATCCCTCATCAGAAGGGAGCAGGAGGAGGCTGGATACATATTAAAGGGAGAACCAGGTGAGTGCATGAGGCATGGTCCAGGGCATGTTTGAAAGGGAGGCCATGATGCTGATGGGGAACCAGGACAGTGCACCACAGAGGGGGGACAGGAGGCAGGAGGAGATAGGAGTGTACTTGATGGTGAGCAGCAAGGAACCTCAGAGCCTCCATGCCACAGGCTTTTGGGGACTGTCTGGTCAAAGGACAGCTGATACAGAGGAAGATCTCTCTCTTCCACTCCCCGTGCCCACGGCAGACACCACAACTCCATCATTGGCCCACAGGACCCAGTCTCAGGATGCCCCAGCCCAGGACTGTAGGGATACTCACTTCAAGGTGCCAACACCCTGATCGAGCCCAACCCCTCAGTCAAATGAGAGAACTGAAAACCAAGGAGGAAATAAGTTTGGGAGATATTTTTAGTTTATGGGAAAGCTAAGTCTTCACTGCTCCCATCTGCCATTTTTTTTACAAAGCATGCATGGAAAATGCCGTGAACACCCTCCTGGGGCACAAGGGAGAAGGAAGAAGGAGAAAGAGCCAGGAAAGGTGAGAGTTGAAGAGGACACAGCCACCAGCCAGTAGGGGCCCTGCTGCAGGCCAGCTCCACGTGAGTTCTCCAAAGTCATTCACCAAATGCAAAAACTTTCAGATGCAAACCTGCTCCCAGGTCTAGGGCAGAGCACTGTGGTCCTTTTCTATGGAGGTAAGGAGAGATATCAGAGAAGGGGAGAAGTCTGCAAAATGGTCTGAGAGTCATGTTAAAGGAAAAGGCTGCCCATTTGCTTATTAAATGGCTAGAGAGGAAGGGGATTGTCTTGTAGGGCCAGGGCCAAGGCAGAAGCCACAGTTGAGATCACGGCAAACGGCTTTGAAGGGAAAATCCATGCATTCCCAGGTGAAGCGGGAAAGGTCAGAGAAAGAGCAGTGCCACAAACAACAGCTCTGAGAGACCATCAGTAAATAATTCAGTGACTCGGACGTTTGGAGAATCCATCTTTCAGCAAACTGATTTTCAGAGAATTGGCTTTGGCAGCTTGATCTTGGCCTATTTCCCCAAGGCCAGAGGGTGAGAAATCGCAGGAAGCAAAAGCTGCAGGAAGAGGCCAAGAGGCAGCATCTCCTGTTTGGGTCCACGGCCTTGTTTCCTGCTTCAGCGAACCCACCAGGCAGTTTTTATCGTCTTCCCAGATTAGCCATGACTGGGCCTCCTAGGGGGGCGGAATGTTCCCTGGGGTGTAAAGAAGGGGAAACAGAGAGCAAACTGATGGGTCTGAAGTGGGGTAGCCACAGGGGCTGCCAGGCAGGCAGGGGGCCAGGGAAGGTGCTGCAAGGGGTGGGGGGGAAGTGCAAGTCCAGGTGAGCCCTGGCTCCCCAAAGGCACCATGTAACCTTGTGAACAAAGATATCCTCACCCAGGGACAAGATGGCTTAACTGTTAGTGGAGTCCTTTTCCACCCAGATCTTTACTTTCTGTTTCCCAGGTAACAAATCTATAAAAGAATTCTTACCACGGAAGTTGGGATGATAAGAGCTGTGGTGCCCAAGATGCCATTTGCCTGTAGAAAAACAAGAGAAAGATTTTCAGAAAAATCCTCAACCAAACCCTCGAAGGAGCCGATCACACACTCAGTTCTCCATGGGCTTTGCCCTGTGCCCAGGACAAGCAAAGACAGGCTGCAAAGGCAGTGGGGGCGGAACCGAAGCCGTGCTCTCTGGGGCCAAGAGGGAGTCCACAGGAACACAAAGCAAGGACAACTCCAGACCTACACAGGAAACCTACAGTGAAAGGGGGAGCCGGGAACCCAGAGAAGCCAGCAGGCTGAGTGCTGGCCCTGCAAGGGCCACCAGGACTCTGCACAGCCCCTCAAACCCTCCAATCTGCCCTCCTGCGCTGGGCCTACAAAGGCGCTGGGTGGCCCAGGGTGCAGGTGCACCACCCTGCAGAGTCTCAGAAATGCCGGCTTCCTGCCCAGTTTCATCAGCTTCCTCTCTGGCAACATCAGCAGCCACAGTTAAAGCACCGAGACACCTATGGGGCAGCAAATGAGGAAACTCCGATGTCCCGCTGCCCCTGCTCTGTAAACGGGTTCAGTCTAGGGGAATAATAGGGCAATGTGCAGCAAGAGCTCTGACGATGTCAGAACTCTCTGATCTGTGCATTCCACTGTGAGGGGCAGACCCCAGGGAGATTACTCCCCAAGGTGAGGGGCAAAGAAAAGAATGTAGAACCAAGATCAAAACAGCAGCAGCATGAAACCACACAAAGGAGAGAAATTAATGGCAGCCATAGGAGTATGTCTAAGTAAATTGTTGGAAGGGGCCTCAATAAAATATTACCAAGCTAGCTTTTAAAGACAAATGCATTAAAAAAAAAAAAAAGGCAAATGCATATGGCAAAAATTAACAATTAGTGAACCTGGTTGAAGCATATACCGAGGTATGACAATTAACTTCATGAACTCATCCTAAAAAACAGTGCTATACACTTCATTCCTGATTATCACTACAGTCACCTTTGAAGTAGCCCCTTGTGAAGCTATGCACTAATGCCAGCATCCAGTCTACCCATCAAAGCAATTTTAGAACTCTTTTTCTGGAATGACTATCAGAGCTATTATCATACAGCACACAAAATTATGCAGCAACAATAATGAACACCACTCAGCAAGACACTGCCACACATCAACGTGAACATAGCTGTCAGACCCTGATATACCAAGGTCATGAAACCTTCCTTACAGAGTTGTTTGTACAGTGCTGCCAGTGTAAGTGCATGGGGGCAAGTTCATGAACTTAATTGTCAGACTTCGCATGACAATAACTCTGCTGGCCATTATTTCCTCCTTACAACTGCTCTATAGGTTTTAGGGAAAAAAACTTGTTAAAAAATTGAGGGAAATAAATATTCAATGGAAGTGCAAAACAATATTGAAATTATAAATTTTTTTAATTATAAAAATGATAATAAATAGGTAAAATCATATTACATGTAAATGTAAAATAATGTGAAGGGAAAAACCAGGAGAGCCAGAGGTATGTACACAACTAGGTAAAAACAAAAACAAGACCAAGATTAGAAGCAAAGTATGAGTGTTATCAATGGACTCGCTATTCCTTTGGTGGGTTTTTAATTTCTCCTGTAAGTACACTTCAGTTCATAATTTCAACAATGCTTAAATATCCTGCCCAGGACTTGCAAAAGATGCCATGAGTAGTGAGTAGAGATGAGGGGGTGGCAGCAAAACATAGTTGACCTGCCACCAGACGCTCACTGGGAGTTTAAAGGCAGTTGAGGGGTGATGAGATCAAATCTGACTCCAGGAGAAGCCAGCCCCTCTCCTGCCTCAGCTTAAGGCTGGTGGACCTGGGACCAAATCCTTCCTGGCTGCGAGGTTTAAATGGATACATGTCACTGGTCTAGCAAGGGTAGGCAGCCCACAGGGGAGCGTCACCAATGGTGTCTTAGTGCTCATGTTATTTACATTAATTATACCTCTGGGTATGGAGAGAAAGGGATTGGAAAGGGAGAAGGGATGGACCTTAATTGGTCTCTCCTCCTCTTGCCCTTCTGAGGTAAGGTAAAAGGATGTCCAGGCTCTTTGATAAGTGAGAGATGCCAGCCCTAGGTTTGGGTGGAGTAACCTCCTACAGGTGAACATGTGTGCACCAGGCACCCAGGACAGGCCCACAGGAACCCTCAGTTTCTGCCTGTCTGTCTCCAGCACACTCTCCCTTACCTCTCCCTGGATGGTAGAAAGAGGTGGGGATCCCAAGGGACACGGCTCTTTGAGAGTTAGATTAACAAGCACAGGCAGCTGAGGATGCTGTTGGGACTACTGGGTCATGTTGGCCCCGGGAGGGGAGAATGGCAGTGAAACGCAGCCTGGGGCAAGGCTGGGGCCAGGTGCACCTATCTAGGTCCCACCTCCACCTGCTCCAGGTTAGGCAACATTGAGCAATCGCCCCACACCTGAAAATCAGTTCCCTCAGCAGTATGACCAAAGAAATAATAATCTCAGTGCAAACAAATAACCCAGTGCCTGGTACACAGTAAATGCTGAGTAAGAGGTGCCTTAAAAAAAACCAATTTAAAGGGACAGGAAGTCACTGGACAGGGTGGCAGACACTGCTGGTCTCCTATCCAATACTGTGTCCCCATTTATCCTGCTAATGCAACTGTGGTTTTGTTCGGGGGTGGGAGGATCACCGTGTCCAAGTCTAAGTCAATCACTATAACCCTGTCCCCAGTTTCTCAGCCCTGGGGCACATGGAGAGGTGGCCACGAGACCCAGCTCCCGCCAAGAAGTACCATTCTGCTGGGGCTGGAGGAGTGTCTGAGGAAAGATTTGCTCTCCTATAAAAGTGAATAAACAAGGCCGGTAGGGCCTCTAATCTCTTCTTCCTTCCTTGAGCCAAGTCATAGTGACGGGCATGAAGTTGGTACGTGGCAGCCAGGAGGACGCAGGCTCAGAGATGAACACTGATGTGCTAAGGATGAAAAGACGGGAAGCACCTTGCTGCTGGTGGCATCTTTGAGCAGCCAAGCTAATGAAAGCAACCACTTACACTGAAGCTTGTTTTAGTGGGAGGAAAACAGGCCCATATATGTTTTAACCCACTCTCAGGTCTTTTCAGTGACTAAGGGCGTCCCTAACTTACACAGCAAAAAATGTGCAAGGAAGCAGATAAGAACAGACAAGGTGGCCGCATGTGGGTCCGGAGTTACCTATCATCCCAGTGACATAGCCGGCCTGCTGCAGCACCTCTGCCAGGGTGGTCTCATTGAGCGGCAGGCCCCCCACAGAGGTGACTGCAAAGTTGTGCGTGACTCCATTGCGAAGGCCCAGCCGACCGGTGAGCAAGGAGGCTCGGGAGGGCGAGCAGGTGGAGGCAGCTGCGTGGAAATCCACAAACCTGTGTGCAAAGGAGAGCGGTCGGTTTGAGTTTGTTCAGAGGGGCAGAAATCTTAGAAATAGGCGGGGTGGGGGAAAGTGGTCAGGACCTCGACAACCACAGGAAGCCAAATAAAGAGAAAAGGCAATGACCCCTCAGTTCCTGGGGTTCTAGGGCTGAAGAAGAACAAAGAAAGAAAATGAAATCCGGAGAGGGAAGGCGACTAGTCCAAGGTCGCTCATTCAAACTGATTTAATCCAACAGATTCAGACATCCTCTTTATTCACATATTCCATATTTCAAATTTGCCTACTCACTAAGCGTATGTTTTAATCCTGTCTTAATCCCGTGATCAAAGCAGGAGGCCCTTTCGAGTCGTTCACAGGTTCAGGCAGGCCTGCAAAAAACGGTGAGTCACTCTGGTGTGCACGTTCCCGGCTGAGGTCGCACATGACCTTCTTTCTGCCTTCTGGTTTCAGCTCTCTTACTGTAAACAAGTGTCCCTCTCACGGCCTATCTATGCTGAGGGTTTTGTGTTTTTGTGCTTCTGACTGGTGATTTCACTGTGCACACGGCCCCCAGGTCCCCAGCTGAAGTGCTATGTAATGTTTTTCAGCACAAGGAGGCCGTGGCGTCCCTCACTGAGGAATGCGTCAAGCTGCTGTTGGCTGTGACAATAATGAATCAAAAATATATCAGAGAAGGTGTCTTTGACCAGAAACACACAGCAAATACAGTGATGTCTTGGTCAGTGGATGAAAATTTTGTGACCAGAGGCCTGTAGGAACCTAACCCTATATTTCCTCTAGGAACAAAGGTTCAGGATTCACTAATTCAGCATACACAGTGACTTTATAAATCACAGCTATTGGCAGTAACAAGAATTGACTGGATCTATTGATGTGCTCCCAACTAATGGGCACAATGTAAGGGTGTATGACACACCTCCTAGGTGCAGGACACAACCACAACAGGGACTTTTTCTAACAAATGCAAACACTGTAACCTAATCGTTTATACCCTCATATTAACCTGAAATTTTAAAAAAAAAGAGTTGACTGAATCTATTACGTAGTACTGGATTCTCGGCCCTAAATATAAAAGAAGTTAGGCATAGTCCTGCCTTCAAGGAATGTGCAGCCTCATTGAGAAGATAGACACGAGCAAATTCAAGTAATAATAATATACAACAGTATGTGATTAAGACTCCCCATAAGTGACAGAGCCATAGGAAATGGAGACCGGGAATATTCCAGTATCAAGACACAAAGAAGTTGTGAAAGTCCCAGCAGCAGAGAAGCCTGCACAGTGGGAGGAGCAGGATTGAGATCAGAATCTAAAAGATGGGGCTGCTACGTACACCTTGAAAATCAGAAGGACAGGCGCTGCCAGTGGGGGAACAGCAAGATATTTTAATCTTTGCAAAAGTTAACCCTGGAAAGCTACCCCAGAAGCTAATAAAAAACAGTTTCCCACAAGGCGTGGGAGAATCAGAGTGTGGGAGAGCAGGCAACAAGAGTCTCTGGGATATGTACAATTCGATTTTTGCACAATGCAAATGTTTGATATCGTCAAAAAGTAAAATTACATCATGAAGGAAAAATAAGCAGACCCTCTAATATAATTCAACACTGAAACAAATGAATACAAGTCTATAACAAACTCTTAATGCGACCACACAGAGAAAAGGATCATCTCAAGCAGCACAGTATTCTGGCTGTACATCCTTACTGGGATATATAATACAAAGGCAAAAAGAATTGCAAAGAAAGCTTAAATTCTACTCAGTAGCTGTATCGTGGGTAGCAATACTGACATCGGGGCTTTGAAACTAGTATATGTATATGGTCAAATAAAGCAAATAAGTAACAATATTAATGTTCCTAAGAGAGAACCAAGATTTTCGCAGTAAGAGGTAAGGATATGAAAGAAGTTAGGAGCTGGGTGTGTGGCTCACACCCACAGCCCCAGCTACTCAGGAGGCTCAGGTTTGAGCCCAGAAGTTCAAGGCTTCAGTGAGCTATGATGGCACCACCACACCTGGCTAACCGAGCAAGACCCAGTCTCTACAAAAATAAATAAATAAAGGGCGGCGCCTGTGGCTCAGTGAGTAGGGTGCCAGCCCCATATGCTGGGGGTGGCAGGTTCAAGCCTGGCCCTGGCCAAAACTGCTAAAACAAAAAAATTAATGAAAAATAAATAAAATAAAAAGTTAAGAAAAAACCTATAATGTTAAAGTTAATTAAAGTTTCATTATGAACTCATGATTTAGAAAAAAATATTTATTTCCTAGCTACCACACACTGCACAGGCCTAGATCAGCGGTTCTCAACCTGTGCATCAAACAACCCTCTCACAAGGGTCGCCTAAATACATCTCGTATATCAGATATTTACATTACAATTCATAACAGTAGCAAAATTACAGTTATGAAGTAGCAATGAAAATAATTTTATGGTTGGAGGTCACCACAACATGAGGAACTGTATTAAAGGGTCGTGGCATCAGGAAGGTTGAGAACCACTGGCCTAGAAGCACTCCCACTCCCATAGCAACGAGCACACCCACACCCTGATCTTTCTTTTAAACACCATCCTGCTCTAAATGGAATTGGATCTCCTTGGGGAAATAGCTAATTCCAGGTTTAGGGTAGGAGAACTATCAGGGGAGTCTGGGGATCTTGTGCCAGAAAGCAAAGACCTAGGAACCAGCTTGCCGGGGCTCCTGCTGGCCAAATTTGGGATAATTCAGGCATCAAAAAGAATACTTAACGGTAATTGATGGTAAACCATGAATAAATAAAAATCCATGAGTCCATACTGACATTCAAATGAAGTCCTTTGCCACCATCAAAGTAGAACATTATACCAACTCCCCCACCTGAAAAATTCATAATTAAAGCCAAAGGATTAAACATCTATCCCGACGTGACTGATCCCTAGTTGTTGCTGGGTGATGAGGGCAGCAAGCCTGTGCAGAAGGATGGCAGCCAGCACTCGTGCATGGGAGGGAAGGCGGCTTTAGGGAAGAGCCATTTTTGCAAATCTCCCCCATCTAATAACCAGTAGATGCATTGGGAGTGGATGTTCACACTGTCACCCTGGGGTCACTCCTACATCAGACAGGCTAATAATGGTTGCCCTGACCTTGTGTGTCTCCCGATGGGATGCAACATGAAGTTTATAAAATCAAGGATTCTTGCCAAAAGCATTTAACCTGAATCTAATCAAATCTCCGAACCTAATTTCCAGGTTTACAGGAAATACAGCTCGCAGAAGAACAAATTAAATGACACCACAAGGAAATAATTTAACAAACCAACATCTGAATATTCTACAAGGCAACTGGGCCCGTGGCTCCAAAAAGTCAGTATCACAGAACGAGAAGGGATCGGGTGTGAGTGATATGTACATGAAAGATTAAATATGCAAAATCAGAGGCAAAGCATGATCCTTGAGGGGCGCCCAGGTCAAATAAACTAACACCACATTCGATCTCTGGGCTTGGGGGCAATTTTTCTTTTTAAAGGAAAGAAATAAGAAAGAACAAAGAGCAAAGGCAGGAATCCACTCTGCTGCTCTGTAGACTTCATCGCCTCCAGGGCAACACCTCTGCAGAGGCCACCAGTGGAAAATATATTCTTATTGTCACTAAGACCATAAATACAAGCAAAAACAACAAAATGTTAACAACGGATGAGTATACTGGTGCTTTTTTTTTTTTTTAACATTCTTTTAATTTTCCTTTATGTCTGAAATTTTTAATATTAAAAAGTTTTTTAAATGATGGAGGACTAGAATCTAGAATGAACTAGGCAGTGACCGCAGGGCTGGCTGGTGGCCCCACTAGAGCAGGAGGAGGGAAGTAAGCAAGACATCCCCAAACCCTGTTGGCACCCAGGCTGCTGAGGGGCTTAGCAGGCAAGCTCAGCCAGCACTCTGGGCAGGAAGGGACACCTGAGATGGGAGGACAGGGGCTGGCCCATAGCACCAGGGGTTAAAACGTGAGGTTTAAAACAAACTCCACCTGGATTGACATCACTTGCACAGCCTCTCTCTGGCCACCAGGACCACCAGTGAACGAAAATTCTGTGAATTTCTAAAGTGTTCACATCCTTCAGAGGCAGCCCATGGAGATGCCCCCAGCCTGGTTACAGTGAGCAGGACCCAGAGCCCCTGACCTTGACATGACCTTGCTCTCTGCAGAGGTGATGGCCTTGGATGGTAATCAGGTCTGCAGAGCAACAGAATGGATACATATGCTCTTCCTTTCTTTTCTTGTTTCTTTCCTTAAAAAAAAAAAAAAAAATTTATACTCAAGCCCAGAGATCATAAGGCAAAGTCATTTTAAAATCTTACAGACTAATTACCATAGGATCCAGCAATTCCACTCCTAGAAATTACCCAAAAGGAACTGAAATCCGTTACTCAGTTAAATATGAGGTCTGACATTCAATTTCGAGAACTCATCCTAGAAAAAGTGCTATACACTTCGTTGCTGAATATCACGATGGCCACCTTCAAAGTCCTCCCCTTGGGAAAGTATACACTGACACCTGCGCCTATCCACCCTTTAAGGCAATTTTGGAACTCTTTCTAGAATGGCCATCAGAGCTGTCATCGTACAAGGTCTGACAATTAAGTTCTCGAACACATTCTAGAAAAAGTGCTACATACATTGCTGAGTGTCACTATGGTCACCTTTGAAGTATTTCCTTTAGCCATCTGGGGATGGTAGTGATATTCAGCAATGAGGCATGCAGCACTTTTTCTAGGATAAGATCATGAACTTAATTGTCAGACTTCATAAATACACACCTGTTCACAGCAGCACTATTCACAATAGCCAAAAGGTGGACCTAGCACAAACGCCCCTTGCCAGATGAATGGGCAAGCAGACTGTGGTATGCCCATACAATGGAGCACTGCTTGGCAATGAAAAGGAACCAAATATTGATACTTCCTTCATGAGAGAGGAACCCTGAAAACATCATAATGAGTGAGAGAAGCCCGACACTACAG